TGTATGTATATTCTATTCAGTCACCCCACGCGAGCTCTTGAAGAAAAGTTCATAAAAAGTAGCGTGAGGTAAAATCCGGCTACGATTACGACTTGGTCAGCTCTGGACACAATGCGTCGCAAGAGACCGAACTTATAAATCTTCTATTTGTGTTAGAAAGATCTTCCAGGAAAAATATCCTCTTACATGTGCAATTTTAAAACACACAATCTCTCGTAATTTCTCATCTAAAGATTGGCTACATCGACATAGATTAATGCTATTACTGATTAACAATCTTTGTCAAATTATTATTATTATTATTATTATTATTATTATTAACGATATTAATGATAAAATTATAATGTAAAAACAATTGATATGAAATTGAATTATAAATAACAATCGTTAGTACAAGATTCTTTATCTAACTCTCTCTAATACCGTTGGTGCAATTAAAGCTAATCATATAAATTCGATATCCGACAAATTAAATAGTACGAATATTTGATGGAATTGTTCGATAGAAAAGACAGCGCGTACGCAATTGAAAATAGTAGATACAAATACAAATATATAAAAAAGAAAATTCTTAAAAAAAAGATGGATGTATATTCCATAAATTGTGTGTGTGTGTGTGTGTGTGTGTGTGTGTGTGTGTGCGTGCGTGCGTGTGTGTGTGTATGCGTGCGTGCGTGCGTGCGTGTGTGTGTATGCGTGCGTGCGTGCGTGCGTGCGTGCGTGTGTGTGTGTGTGTGTGTGTGTGTGTGTGTGTGTGTGTGTGTGTGTGTGTGTGTAGAGGGGGGGATGGATGTGTAGATTACATGCTATATCCATCTTTTTTTCAAAAAAGAATTTTCTTTATGAAATGTATATACTGTAGACTTCATTGTGTCTTCTTCATTAATGGACAAATAGTTTGGCAAAACAAACTAGTCGTGTATATTAAATAGCCTTAAAGATAGAAAAAGGGTTAGAGGAAAAAGCAATATTTTAATTCGTTGTATTTCATTAAAAACTCTAGATGGTCTATCAATCCGGTGCTTTTAAAAAACAACTTAATTATATTACATTTCCACAATACATTATTTTCGATAGTAATGCAATCTTCAATTGTAATGTCTATTTCCTAGATTGCCCTGTTTCACGCCAATTAACGCATTCACACAATTCTTCTTCTGATAAACAATAAAAGTATCAAAAAAATTTCTATACAAAAAAGAACTACAGCAATTCCTGTTGCAATAAATAAAAAGAAATCATCCCTTAATTAATAATTTAAACATTTATAAATTCCATAAGAATATAATTTTAGAAAGGCTCTCTAAAAATTAAACGTGATTTTTTATTTTAAAGCATACAAAGCATAATTGTCCCTATCTTTGTATAAAATAAGAAGTTGTTTTAAGAAATGCATCATAATATTTTTGTAAAAAAATCTCTTATATAAATTCAAAAGAATACTCTCTAAATTTATACACGTTTCTTTGCCATTGAAGATAATTAAATTGGTTTTTGTCTAATAGCGACTACGGGACCAAAAGATTTTAATCTCTAACTTTTTTTCTATTGCTAATATTTTTCGAAATACATGACTTTTTTGCTTTCTCCGTAAAATATCTTGCAGATATAAAATATCTGCGAAGACTATTCAAAGTATATTTATATAAATATTTCGTGATTATATTAACACGTTACAAGACTAATTAATGCTATTAAACGTTTTATCGAGAAACGTTACAATGTAGTAAATCAATTCTAACATCAGATCAAATCAGAAAAAAAAGAGTAAAATACATAACTGATAGAGCTGGAACAAATATAAGTGATATAATGTATTAACACAGTTTCATGGGAAATCAGTGAAATTTTCCATTTTACTATTTTCATTCAAAAAAAAATTGAAACAAAAACGAATCATCATTTTCATTACTAGCTTGTAATGTAAGCATTCCAATGACTGGCAATAGATAATATTATAGGTATATGTGTTGTGCGTGGAGTTGACGATAATATTTTAGTCTTTAAATTATCATATCTAGTATTTTATTTAATTTTGCTACGCACATAACTATTAATCGAAAATGCATATTATATTAAATTTAACAAAGTAGCGAATATCCTAATTCTTCTCTGAGCTTCCGACATTTTTCTATTCGATCTGCGCTGTAGCCGCTATATCCAAAAAAATATTTTTTTTTTAACTTTATTTTAAATTTTCCATACAAATTTTAATAGTTTTTAATGGACTGATAATTAAATTTTAATGGAACAGTTCGTTTATATTAAAAGTCTGAAATGACAAGTCAACATATAAAAAAATATCTAAAATATGACAAAAAATCATATGATCGCTCTTTCAGGGAATACACGCCTTTTTCCTTTGATTCCATAAATATCATTTAAATATCATAAACTCTGTTATGACAAATAAAAAAATCTTTACTTTTTGAAATATAGTCTTCTATGTACCTCAGGAGTACAGAATCTATTTAGAATCTTTCAAGACTGCACGTCAGTACCTTCAAAAAATGTGTCTGTGTAACGTACTGTCCTTTATAATAAAATAATAAAAGTATAATTCCTACTATTGCATTTTTTATTTACTTTCCTACCTACACACTTCCTTCTGTCCTAATTAAGAAGAGGAATTAAAATAAATTGTTAAAAACAATTTAATAATCACAGGCCTATAAAAAAAAAGTACCCTGTGCTGGAGTGGAGACCGAGCTATTCTATGTATTTTGAGTCGCTAAATATGAATCTGACCTTAAAATAGGACCAACCAAAATTAATTTTCAATCTAGAGATTTTCTAGTTAAAAAAGATTTTGTTACAAAAGATAATAATTTTAATAACATTTGATTCTTCCATTTAAACATTAATCGTTTATAAACATATTAATAATTTTGTTCAATTCCAAATATTGAGAGAAAAAAAAGTGCAAACAACGCAAACAGAATCATTTTTAATATTCAATAAAGAAATCCCCCTTCTTAATTCCCTTTTTAATCAATAATATTTTCATCCTTAAAAAAACTTTTTGCATCTTCTCTACCCCTCCTCCCCCCCCCCTAATGCTCAAATATATAAGAATTGTTTGCTTTAAAACAAGAGCTGTTTTGCTTTAAAATCTCCAAAAATTTTTGCGCTTAAAATGAGATAAATATATGTATATTCGGGTCGAAGAAAAAAAACAGAGATGCTTAAGGCAAAAAGTGCAATGCGAATAGACCAATACTTATCTCATTTTAAGAGCGAACATTTTTGAGGATTCGCAACACGAATAGAATTATTATTGAATGGCATTCGTTATTCAAGGGATCGATTGTGTATCTCGAAATAAGACGAAAATTACAAAAGTGAGCAAATTCATTAAAATATTCATAACTTAATTGGTTAATAATTAATGAATTTGCTCACTTTTATAATTTTCATCTCATTTTAAGATACACAATCGATTCTCTGCTCTCTGAAAAAATTAATCAGTTAAAGTATCTTTTCATGCTGACACGTAATACTTTTTTTAGCGTCAAAACAAATCACATGATAAAAATTGACAAATATCAATAGTTAATTTCGATCATGTCATTTATTTTGTCTCTAAAAATAAGCGTCGAACGTCAATATGAAAAGGCACCTTTAGTGCTTAGTAATTCTTTAATATCATTGGTTTTTATCTTTAATTCCCAGAGAGAATTAAAGATAGAGAAAGATGAGAATTCCCATGTCGAATCAACGTCGATTTCATTGTCATTTCTATTGGGTTCTTTGCTGATTTTTTACTAGATTCTTCTAATGGCCTCGGCACATCAACGCATGTTAGTCGCGCGCAACGCGATATCCAATAACAGTATATCTTTAGAATGAGAATATCTCATTAAAGGTAAAGCTATTGTACACTTATTGGATATCGTGTGTCGCGCGCGATGAACATCGCGCTAGTATGCAAAGTGTAATGAACGAGTTCAAGACGACAAAGCAGCTAGGCATGCTTACCGAGCGAATGAGCATAATTCCCTAACAGCACAAAGTCGATTCTAAGTCGACTATAGCTTCTAGACGTCTGAAAAATGGAGGTCCATAAGTCGATCTTAGACGACTTGAAGACGTCTCTAAATCATACAATATTCCACTTTAAAGACGACTGTAAGCCGATTTTAAATCAACCATTCTAGTCTGTGATCCGATTCATACCCACAACGCTCATGAACAGCATTCATCTTTGTTTAACTATAGTTAAACAACAAGAACAAAATGATTCCACATATAAGCTTTGTAAGGGGCATAAGGGGCTTTGTCTTACAATAAAAGAAACAGGGAACAGAGAACAGAGAATAAGAATTTCAACCTATCAGAAATCATGTATTGTGGAATTACACAGTTTCTGATAGGAAATTCTTATTCTCTACTCTCTGTCCTTGTTGTTATTGTGAAGAGCCCCAAAATCGCACTAAATGTCCTAAAATTGACATTAAAGGATCTGTACAAAATCGACGATATAATAGGCTCTAAAGGCCTAACTTAGCAAAGTCAACTTACAGTCGACATATCGACGTTTGTGCTGTTAGGATTGGTTCTTACCTGTGGATCCAACCAATTATGTTTAATTGTTTGGCGAGCAGACCTAGCCGCTTTGTCGACTTAAATGCGCACAATATTAAAAAATTACTAAGCGCTAACGATTTATAATTTTCTCTACTGAACACAGTCAATTTATTATTGGACAAATGAGTTCTCCATTGACTCCATGGCATGCACAATATGCTCCTGCATATTGAATGCAAAATGTGACAAGATAACCAATGAACATATTAGATGCTGTAAGCTTATTGGTTATCGCATCATGTATTGCGCTCGGCAAGCGTTTCTGCATCTAGTGTGCAAAAACCATGAAAATATTTTTTCATGCTGACGCTCGACGTTCATTTTCGGCGTTAAAATAAGTCATGTAATAGAATTTGACGAATATCAAGCGTCAATTTTGATCACGTGATCTATTTTGACGCTGAAAATGAGCGTTAAGCGTCAGCATGAAAAGGCACCTTTAGTTTTGCTTTACTTTATTGTCCAATCTATAGAGAAAATTAAATTTGTTTAGTTAGCAAACCTGTCTGATATTGCCTGTTACTTGTTACTATTTTTGTGGATAGATTAGGTTAGGATTAGTGTATATGTGACACTTTGTTTCCGTTATACAAGAATTGGATAGAAAGTGATTGTCTTGCAATTGATAAAAAATTAAGGGGAATCTTTAATAATTGATTAGATTCTTCATCAAATGTATAAATCTAGATATGGTAGATAACGTTACGAAAATCACAAAACATGAGGCTAAGTGATAAATATACTCGTCGTACGCGTATTGCTTAGATGTAATGAAAATGACGTACCCCGGATTAGTATTACTTGTCGGAGTTGGAGTTGGAATAGCGACTTTTCTGTATTATGTGTTCACTGAAAATAACCGCACAGAAGAACAATCATTCTCGTATTCGAGAAACAGAAGATCGTCCGAAGATCATTATGAAGATCGTTCTTGGACGACATCGTCGCATCCAACTGAAAAGTATTCAATACGTATACATAAGTGTCATTACTTGCGCATTAAATGATATCATCTAATTTTCTTTTCTTTGAATTTACTTTTC